TAGTTCTGGCTGCTCCTCTTCTGATCCAGCTCCCTGCTAGTGATCAGGGAAAGCAGTGGAGTAATGGTCCAACTGCTTGGGCCCCTGTCACATGGGAGACCTAGACAGAGCTCCAGGCCCCTGGCTTTACCCTGGCCCAGCCCTGGCTGTTGTAGCCATTTGGGCAGTGAACCAGTGGATGCAAGATCATTCTCTCTCTGCCTTTCAAATAATTAAGTCTTCTTAAAAAGATCTGGAATGGGGCCCAGCGTGATAGTGCAGTGGTTAAAGTTCTCGCCCTGAATGTGCCGGGATCCCATATGGGCGCCGGTTCTAATCCCGGCGGCCCCGCTTCCCATCCAGCTCCCTGCCTGTGGCCTGGGAAAGCAGTCGAGGACGGCCCAAAGCCTTGGAACCCTGCACCCCTGTGGGAAACTTGGAAGAGGCTTCTGGCTTAGGATTGGCTCAGTTCCAGCCGTAGCGGCCACTTGGGGAGTGAATCATTGGAGGGAAGATCTTCCTCTTTGTCTCTCCTCCTCTCTGTGTATCTGCCTTTTCAATAAAAATAAATAATAAATCTTAAAAAAAAAAGAGGTGGAATGAATATGGCAAAATGTAGAACTAAGGCAAGGTAGCTGGAACAAAGATGGTTACTTTATTCATTCTACACATCTGCATACTAGAAATACGATCATGAAAAAACTGTTGTAAAGAGCTGCTGTTGAAACCACACGGAGCCTCATCCAGCGACTGGCCCAGAGACTGCAGGCATGCCGGCTTATGGCCACTGCCATCACCTTCTTGTTCCCCTTCAATTCCAGAGAGCTCAAGCCAGAGCAGCCAGCACCTCCAGGCCGCTGCCAGCCTGCCCCCCTTCCAAACCCAGTGACCTGAGCATCCCCTTCAGGGTAGGAAACGGGAAATCAATAACCCCTCCACAAATCCTCAGGGAGAGGTTCCTCCTCGCCTCACGCCCCAACACATCTTGAGCAGGGAGGGTCTCCCCAGCATGGCACACTCAGAACCCCCTGCGCATTCATTCCAAACGCCTGAGCTCTGGGGGCAGGAAAGAAACCCAGCAAACCTCCAAGTTCTCACCACCCGCCTTGGTCACGGGTGCAGGGAGTCCTAACCGAAATGATACCATGGGTATCCCCATATCAGAGGGCCTCAACAGACTTTAGGCCGTGGCTCTGCCCCACCACCTACTGATGAAGTCGCTACTCATAGGCCAATAAAGCAGGGGCCAGAGCGGTGCAATAGTTCAACTGGCTAATCCTCCACTTCCAAGTGCCGGGAAAGCAGTCAAGGATGGTCCAAAGCCTTGGGATGCTGTGTCTGTATGGGAGTCCCAGAAGAAGCTCCTGGCTTTGGATTGGCTCAGCTCTGGCCGTTGTGGCCATTTGGGGAGTGAACCAGTAGATGGAAGATCTTTCTGTCTCTTCTTCTCTCTGTGGATCTGCCTTTCCAGTAAAAATACATAAATCTTACAAAAAAAAAAAAGCTATGGGGTCAGTGCCACTATGTGGTGTAGCAAATTAAGCTTCTGTTTACCAGTATCTCATACAAACTCTGGCTCGTGTCCTGCATGTCCCAGCTGCTCCACTTCCTGTCCAGCTCCCTGTTTGTTGCCTGGGAAAGCAGCAGAGGATGGCCCAAAGCCTTAGGACCTTATATGCACGTGGGAGACCCAGAAGCCTCTTGCTTTGCACAGGCCCAGCTCTAACAGTCTGGCCATTTGGGCAGTGAATCAATGGATAAAAGATCTCTCTGTGTGTCTCTCCTTCTCTGCCACTATGCTCTTTGAAATAAAAATAAAATAAATCCTTAAAAAACAAAACAAGATACCAACCCAAGTGGCACAGGGTGGCCCAGCCCTGAGCTCCAGGTGCAACTTCCTGGGAACACTTGTAATACCTGTGATCTGCTCCGTCCCAGGAACCTAAGTGCCAAGGTCATGGCATGTGAGGAGAGCGGTGATGGTGCATTCTGGGGACCAGGACTCATCAAAACGGATGTGCACATTGTGTGTGTGTGTGTGCACATGCATGTGTGTGTGGCGTTACCCCGCCCCTACCAGGGTTTGGATGTGGCATTTCCCCTGGGGGTTCAGGTGCTGGAAGCTCTGCCCACAGCACACCAGTGTTGAGGTGGTAGGACCTTAGGTGGAGTCCAACAGTTGGGACACCCGGGGTGCTACCTTAGGTTAATGAGGTTCCAGTTAGCTCCTAAAAGAACACCGTGCCTCCAAGAATGCCACTCCCCGGGCAGCACGGTAGCTTTCGTCAGAGATCAAACTGCTAGGGTTGCCCAATCCTGGACTTTCAGCTAAAAAGCCTCTTGTTTTTGTTTTTTTTTTTTTCCCCCAAAGAAACCAGCCTCTATATTTTGTCTAGCAACAGGAAAGGGACAAGTATGTGCCAATTAATGCCTGGAGATACCTTTGGAAAGCAGGGAAGGTAGAGAGAGAAGCCTGTGGGCTGGAGACAAACAACCCCTCCCTACACTGCGTTGAACTTGAGATCCCTTAAGGGATATTAGTCATGGGGATACAGTGCAGGAAGCCAGAGCTCAGAGAGGTATACCAACCAGCCTCAGGTCACACAGCAGCCAGTAGGACTATCCTGCTTGGCTTTCTCTCCAAAATGGCGTCAGGAAGGGGCATGGCAACTGGGAGTCCAGGGCCACACCTGTTCTGGATGGCTGTCTGTCCACTCCCTCCTCTGTGTGTGTGTGTGTGTGTTGGGGGGAGGAGGGTATCTGAGGATCAGATGTAACCACAGTCAGTGTCTGTTGGCTCCAGAGCCCCTGTCCCTCACTGCTGCCACCCTCTCCCTGTGGCTGACTCAGGCCCGCTCTTCTCACTGGATGACCCAAGAAGATTGGCGAGAAGAGGAGGGCTCCCCCTGAATCACATGAATGACTAAACCCACACGCAGGAAAACAGAGTCCTGGATGCAATCTCCCTGGCGTGTGACTCCGGCTCGTTCCCCACTGCCGTGACACCAACCACAGCACGTGGCAGGCAGGCAAGCAGGCAAACGGTCGAGGAGCCCCGGCCCAGGCCAGGCGCATGGTCACTCAACTTGTACAAGTGGCCGGCCTCACCCCCATCTTACAGCTGAGTAAACTGAGGGTCGGAGAGACCCCACAGCCAGCCAAACAAGAGGCCAAGGCTGAAATCTGTGATTTCCCCTGGACGCTTGTCTCTGGGGGCTCCCAACAATGTGACTAAATGCTTAGAAAGGTACCCCTCAAAGCTACAAACCTTAGGGGGGAAAAACCCATGGGGTGGGGAAAGCTCCTAGCTTTTCCAAGGACTTTGCTCAGGGGACTCTAGGGTCTGGGAGATGGTGGAACATCATTTTGGGGGTGCAACAGACCTACCACCCACACCCCTTCTCTGCTCCTGGCTGGGACCTTACCCTGTACTTTATCTTCCTCCTTGGTCAAATGAACTTAAGAATAGCCACCTGAAATGCGTGGGGGAGGCGGGCAAGGCGGGCAGAGCGCGGCCCGGATCCACTGGGGTCTAGCCAGCTCCAGGATCTTGGGGTGGGTGGGAGTTGGGGGAGATGGCAAGGAGAGTCTTCCAGACTTCTTGCATGCTGCCATGCGGGTGCACGCAGTCTTCATACCAAAGAAGCAACTCAGCCACACACTCAACAGGCTCTGACAAGAAACCCACATTTGGCAGCATTTGCAATCGTAAGATGGGTTTGGGAGTGGAGTGAAACTTGGTTCTATTTAAAGATGCCACAGGTCCAGGAAATAGCTTCTCCCCCAGCGGGCTGGGTCTGGCGAGGGGCTGCCCCAGTCCACACAGCCCTGCTGGAGCAGCCGGGATGCAGAATTCCACAGGCTGCTGGTGGAAGGTGTGTCACAGGGCTACACGACGACCCAGCTTTTTAAAACAGGCAGGCTGAAGAGGCCAGGGCGCCGCCGAGGGGCCAGGCCACGCCCTTTTCTAGTCATTGTTCCACGCGGCTTTGTTAGGATTTTTTCCCTCCCTCTTGCTCGGTTTTCCTTCCTGGTCAACTTTCTCTCGTAGCTAAGCTGGGTCACTGAGATACCGCAGGCCCTTCTCTCCAGGAGCCAGGCCCTCCCCGGGGCTGCGGCCAGGCCCCATCATTCCAGACCCCCAGGAGCTGCCCACCCACAACACCCCTCCACCCCCAGTGCGCGTCAGGGGTGGGGTGCATCTCAGGGCCACGCGAGGGCAAGCCATGCCCCACGCCCCCAAGCAGGCTGCTCCCAGCGCCACCTTCTGCGGAGGCCACCCCTCTGCGCTTTCCCAGGCTGCTGCTGTGGGTTCCAGAAGCTGCCTCTTCCTTCTGCACCTCAGCCTTATCCATCGGTAAAACCAAGCCATTCGACCCATTTTCCAGAAATCTCTCAACCAGGTGCTCTGCACGGAGGGAGGCACCAGGAGGAAGAAAAAAAAAAACTTTCGGTACATTTTTAAAACACAACTTATTGGGAAGAGGGGGCAGGGACTGTTCTTTTTAACCCTTTTAGGTGCAGTCAACCAAACGATATATTTTCAGAGATCTCCCAAAAGGACAGGGCCCAAACTTGGCAGTCTCCCGGGGGACTCCCAGTGGCCGTGCTCTGCAGGCGATGGTTGGTGATGGTGAGGGTGGGCACAGGAGCGATAGAGAGAGGGCTGGGGGCAACCGGGCCACCACGAACCTCTCCCCTTCCCCAACCCCTTGGGGTCACTCTGGCGACTGGGCAGGGCGAGTGGAGTTGGGGGACAGCCGGAGACAGGGTGCGGGGGAGACAGCCGGGGACGGAAGGGGAAGAGGAGGGGGTGAGGAGGGGGAAGGGATGCAGTGGAGAAGCGAGGGAGAGGAGGGGGATGGGAGGGGGAGGAGTCGGGAGACCCGAGCCGTGGCGCGGCCGGGCCCGGTCGGGCCGGGGAGCAGCGGGAGGCGCAAGGAGCAGAAGTTGGCCGAGGCTGGGGGCCCGGGCCCGCACCGCCGGGGCGCGCGCGTGGGCGTGGGGCGCGCGGCACTCACATAATGCTTGTTGGGCACCCGTCGCTTCTGCACGTCCAGCACCTTCACCTCCACGATGCTGCGCCGTGGCGGCATGGCCGCTGCTGCACGGGGCCCCGGGACGCGGGACGCGGGACGGGGGACGCCGGGCGCGAGCCGTAGCCGGGGCCGAATGGTCTGAGGAGCCAGGCCAAGCACGAGCTGAAGCTGCCGCCGCCCTTCGCTCCGCGCGCCCTCCGGCCGGGCCCGGCCCGCCCCCGGCCCGCCCCCCGCGCCGCCGGCCCGCCCCCCTTAAAGGGCCCAGCGCGCGGCCCCCGCCGGCCACGTCCGGGCCCCCCGCCGCCACGCCTTTGTCTCGGGCGCCGAGCTCCGCCACCCCACCCCGCTCCGGCCCGGGAGGGGACGGACCGGTTCGCGCGCACGCCGCTGGCCACGCGCTGTTGGCCGAGGCAGTCTCTCCTGACCAGCCTTTGTGACCTTGGCACAGATTGTTTCACCGCCCCAACTTGGCCTCATCTGTAGAATGGGTTTACATGACTGTATGGCAACCGTTGGAGTGCACAGAAAGCCCCCTGCCCTTGTCTGGGTCGCAACATCAGTGTTGACAATTGTTAGCCCATCGGAGCTGGAGATTCAAAGCGGAGCCCAGGGCGTGGTAGGGGGTGGCAGAAGGAAAGGAAAAAAAAAAAAAAAAACAAGGCAAGCCATGTGCACAGAGCAGCTCAGGTAAGGCAGTGTGGGGCCTGGCAGTGCATGTGGGCAGCTGTAGAACCCCTTACCCGCACCAGGTGCTGAGAGCCTGTGCTCTTGGGAGAACATTTCATTGAGTCCCTTGGACAGCTCTGGGAGTGAGAGATACTTGGACCCCATGTTAAGAGTGGATTGCTGCTTGCAGGCGGGTGGGGGGGCAGGTACATGGGATGCCTGGTTGCCTGAGGCAGCCTGGCTGGGGCTGCCCGGCATTTCCGAGTCACTTTGGAGAGATGTTGCCTGTTACAGTGAATGAAACAATACACAGGAGAGAGATTGGGGCCAGCGGTCACCACCCTCGCAGCTCCCAAGCCAAAGCACTTCCTGATCTGGGCATGGATAAATTCAGTGCTCCTTTCCACCCAGCATTCAAGGTTGGCCTTTGAAAGGGCAGAGTTGGGGTTAGCTAGGAGGAAGCTGTCCGGTGGCCACCCTGGCCACCTGAGCTGTCAGGAGCTGACTCGGTTCCCTTGACCCCCGTGTCCCTGCTGCAGGGCCTCTGCATCCTGTTCTGCCCTGGGTGATCTCCCCCAGGCTCTTCCCTGCCCACTGGGCTTCCCTCCAGGCTTGGCTGATGGAAAGGCACACACTTGGCCAAAGGTGGCCTTTCCCAGCTGCTGACTCTGGGGGTCTCCACTGATGGTGCCCACAGTGGCTGCTTCAAGCTCCCCATGTTGCGTCCTCCTGGACTCCGTCCACTGCCTCACGGCTTGACTTCTGCCAAACCACGCTCCTGGGTCCCAGGGCGGATGGCGTCTGTTTGGTATTTTGCTGCGTTCATTTCTCTTAGGCTCTGTCTTCTGGTATACAGCCGGCCGTCCGAGGGGCCCATGCAGTGTGCTGAAGGCCGGGCTCTTCAGTCCTTTTTACCTCCCCCTCTGCACCAGCAAGCTTTCCTAATAAGGCAGAACCGCAGAATGCAGAAGCTGCAGGAAAGACGGTGAATCAGCCCATTTGCTCGGTTTTCCCAGACGGGAAGAGAGGAGAGAGAGAGAGAGAGAGAGCTGCGGGATAAGAGGAGAGAGAGAGAGAGCTGCCCCCGGGCCAACCCCCCAGCTGCAGCACCAGGCCCTCAGCTGGGCTGTGCTGGCCAGGCCTGGAGCGCTTACCCCATGGAACCCACCCCACCAGCCTAAGGGGAAGATGCTGAATTTGTGCCTTCCCACGCCCTGCTTTTGTCTTTTCTTTTTATTGGAATCTGTGATGGCAAATCCCACAATTTCAACCATTTGAATTCCATCGTCTCCCGGGGAAACTCTATACTTTTGAAACCAACAGCCCCTCGTGACTTCCCCCAACCCCTGGGCTCTACCCTTCTGCTCTCCCCATGAACTTGATTTCTTCAGATGCCTCAAGGAAGTAGTGGCAAGAGATGTGTGTGTGTGTGTGTGTGTGTGTGTGTGTGTGTGAGATATCTAAGCGAGGTTCATCCATGTGGTAGCTCGTGTCAGAATCTCCTTCCTTTTCATGGCTGAATAATTTTCCAGTGTGTATTTTGTGTATGTGTGTGTGTGTGTGTGTGTGTGTGTGTATACCTGCAAGATTATATACAGATTATATTAGATTATATGAAGATTATATGCACAAGATCTGTACATAACGATTTATTTGAAAGAGGTACAGAAAGGGAGACAGAGAGAGACTTTTCCACCCACCGGTTCACTTCCCAGGTAGCTGCCATGGTGGGGCAAAGCTCGGTTGAAGCCAGGAGCTTCATCTTGGTCTCCCGTGCAGGTGCAGGAGCCCAAGCACTGGGACCATCCTCGTTGCTTTCCCAGGATGGGATCATGAACATGGAGAAGTGGAGCAGCCGGGATTTGAACCGGCATCCTTATGGGATGCCAGCACTACAAAACAGTGGGTTTCACTGGCTATGCCGCAGTGTCAGCCCCTCATTGTGTATTCTTCATCCATTTCTCTGTCAGTGGTCACTTAGGTTGTGTCCACCTTTTGCCTATTATGACTCACAGTGTTAAGAATGTCAATATATAAATGTCTCTTTTAATATTTACTTTGAAGTTTTTGGGTATCTACCAAGAAGCGGAACTGCTGACTCATGTAGTGACTCTGTTTAATTTTTGTTGAGTGTCTGCAGCCTTGAACACACCCATCAGCACTGAGCCAGGGCCCCAACACCCACACCCCTTGTCAACACTTGTTGTTTGCTGTTTGTTCATTTGTTTTTGACAACAGCGATTCCCAGGGGCGTGGTTCTGACTTACATTTCTCTGCCGAGTAGATGTCCGGCTGCACCCCTTTCCGGGGACTGTCCTGCCCTTTGTAGCTCTTGGAGAAATCGCTATTCAGGTGCTTCACCCAGTTTTCATCTGAGCTGTCGGTTTTTGTATTTCTGTCTGCCACCAGGTAGCCTGGGCTTTGCTTTGAGTATTCAGCGTTATTTTGGGGAGGAGATGCAATGTGGGCTGCTTGTGGCTTAGGTTGGTCATGCAGATTGGAAAGAGGCACCTGGCGTCTGTCTGGGAGAGCTGATAATACAAATCGTAACTCGGGTGGCCTGAGTTCCCTGGGACGGGAAGGACTTCCTCTTCACAAGTGCAGAACACTCTGGCAAGTTCCAGTTCATCCGGGAACCCAAATCCAAAGAGGGAACTATAATGGATGAGAAGTCCCACCTGAAATTCAAATTCTAAATTGAAGCTGGCTCCCGACCCAGGTGCCAGCCTAACCATATTTATGGGGGTTCGCTAATGGGGCTGGTTATGGGTTACGGTGCAGAAGACACGAGACCTTACTTGATGGCAAAAGCTAAAACAGAGCATCCCTGCTGTAATGGAATATGTCAGCGAAGTGAAGCATGAGGGCTGGCCTGGAGTGAACTGGTCTAGGGTGAGCCGTTGAAGCTAGCCTCACTGCAGGCTGTGCCAGCCTGACTCCCAACTATACTCCGGTGTGAATCAGTGCCCCCAGTACACGCTGGGCTAGTCACCAAGTGTGTGGTGTGGGCCTGGCCTCTGTTCTCTGTCAGAAGGCAATGGAAGCAGCAGTGACTCTGCAGACAGGTTCTGAGGGCTGAGATCTTGCGAGATGATCTCCAAGGAGGTCAGAGACAATGCAGATGATGAAAAACCAGCGTGGGGTTCGTGACAGGCAGAGATGAACGCTCACTCAGTCTTCAAAGCTTGGAAGTCACCTCCTCCAGGAAGCCCTGCCTTCTCCTCTGGCCAGTACTATGCCTTATTCCAGCCGTTACTCTGGGCTTCATGTTTTTCTTCTTCTTAATAGCCAATTCTCTTGGCTGACGCCAAGTTCCCAAGGAGCCAGAAGATTTCAGTCTCACGTCCCCTGGCATCGGCTCAGTGTAACAGAGACAATGGACGCATCCGTCTCTCCCTTACTCCACAGTGAATTATTTTGGCTGTAATTGAGTCTCCAGGGCTGGCTGCTTTGCATCCCCGCCCCCTTCCATTCCCCAGAGAACTCTCCCACCCCATCTAGCTTTGTTGTGTCTTTAGATGTTTCTGGAAGCATCAGTGCCTCTTTTGATTGAGCTGTAGAGAAGACCAGATAGAGAAATAAAACCTGAGTCTTCTGCCCTAGCTGCCTTCTTCCCTCTAAATTCTTGTACTATGCATGCGCCTTGCGAGTGTGGAAGCTGAAAGCCCGTGTCAGCACCAGCGTGCCTCAGGATGCGTGTTTGGGAGAAGGGCTGCATAGCTGCTGGGCGTGGAGCCCATCCACCTGCACCACGTGGCGATATTGGGGTCCACAGGCTGCGGGCCACACCTCTCCCAGATGCCGGGTCCCCTGGCACAGATAGCCGGGCCCAGAAAGTTAAGACTGTCTCTTTCTCTGCCTCTTTTCCTCCCTTGCCCCCTGAGGAGGAGTCAGGCTGCTTTTGAGGACATAGGCAGGGCACCTAGAGAGAGATTCCATCCCTCTGAGACTGTCTGATTGACTGGTCTTGCAGGACACGCATAATGAACACAGTGGAACCTGCAGATGCTTAGGGACTGATAAAGCTGGGGCCTCAAAAATGGCTCATGGGCCATGAGGAAGCAAAATTCCAGGTGCCCAGGCTGCAGAGGCAGAGCCGCGGGGGTGGGGAGCAGGTGCAGTGATGGTCCATCCAAGGGTATGGCTGCCCTCCTTCCGTTGTCCCCTCAATATCATTGCTGTGAAATTTCTTCCCTAAAGCACAGCCTTATTCTTGATCATCTCCTGTTCTAGACCTTTCTAGCCGCCACGGCCCAAGCATGTTTGTGGGAGTCGGGATCCAGGAGTGGGTTCCTTCATTAGGACTGCTTTCCTGCCTGGCCGCTTGGCGTTGACAGATGGGGCGTACAGCGCGGCTGCTCTCGGTCAGGTGCTATGTAGAGGGATGCCTGTGGCCGAGCACCGGCTGACGTTGCAGAGCACCACTCGGTTCCTGTCCGCATCTGTCTC